GAGGTGATCACACGACTGATACGTGGAAAAACGTGTTAACGAAGTTAAATGGTTCTCTTAACAAACATACGAACACAGAGAAGAGAATAACATCATGCGTTTCTCATCATTGGAACATTCAACGAAGCAAAAGGTGAAACGAGAGGTGATCGCACGACAGATACGTTGAAATACGTATGAACGAAGTGACCAGGTTCTGTTAACAAACTTCCAAACAAAGAGAAGAGAATATCATCATGCATTTCTCATCATCATAGCTAGTAAGTAGTCAAAGAAAAATGCTTAGTAATGAAGTAAAATCAGCAAGAGGTAAATGGTTACCAGCAAAGAAGAACGTAGTTGAGTAAAATATCTCAATTTATACATTTTATAAAACGAAGAATAAACTTGGTAAGGTGAGAGATTTAACGTGTTTATAAAATGTACATATTTCGAAGCAATGTAAAGTTTGTAAATCGGGATGACAGATAGTTCCAATTTCTTCTACTCGCCGACATTAATTGTTCAGAACAGTTGTTAGAGAAATGATAACAACATACACTGAATACGTATTTTATGTCTAACGTCAAATACAGGACTACACAGTATTTTAATCAGAAATATTATTATACATGTATAGAATATTCCAACTAGTTCTTATCAGTGTGTTTTTTACCATTTCCATCTAACAGGGGCACACAAAATAAAAAGATGTTATCAGACCCAAAGGCTTGAAGTCGACACTGAATTCGATTGTGTAGCCAGAATTGCGCCATAACCCTCCAGATATTTAAATCGCAAAAAAAAGTAAATTATAACTTTAATGGTGTATTTTCGCGATCTAAAAAAATTAAAAGATTGTGGCGCAATTATTCGTTCGGGTTCGGTATTGGATTCAGCGCGTCAACACACATACAGAAACATGTGTCAAGCCATTACAGATGCTACACGCAAGTCATATCTGCAAATCGGCTAATTCGAAATTGTCAGAAGAAATTCCAAGAAATGAAGTCAAATTAAGTCCATTGCAATCCATTCGTTATAAATGTTTGCCCAACAAAATGTGAAACGATGCAAAACGTCATTTTGCAGATCTAATTTAATGCAGGATTCTTTTACAATCTTCAAACCATTGCAGAAAACTAGCCAAAATTGCAAACTACCCGACGGTTCACCGCAGAGTTTAATACAACCTCAGAATAGCGTTTAATCTACAAAGCGACTGTTCCCTCGCTACATCCAAAACAAAAGTTCCGATGTGGGTGCGCTCTAGCGGTGAAAAGCGCGGCGGCGTCCGGTGGCTGACAAATGACGTTCGCACGCCAACGAGACCCTGAACAAGCACGTGTCGCTGGCACCGCAGCCCCCTCCACACATACACACACTCCACCCTCACATACACATCGCCGCAACGCGAAAAAAAAGCCATTGAAACCCACGGATTACGAAATCTCCCCAGGACGCTGTGACCGCGCAACGCCGGTCAGCACGCTAGGCGCAAATAGGTTGAAAACCGATCAGACGAAAATGGGGAAAGGAAAAGAGAAAATGTGAAAGATGGTCTGTTTTTTTACCATCAAAATACATAGATTATTTCAAAATTGGTTGAGGAGGAGAGGGGAAAAATTCAAACTCTCGATAAAACATAACACTTTCTTACTGTGGCGCGGATGGTTAAAAGGATCAGTTAAAAAATTCAAATAGACAATTAGCTATTTACTGAGAATTTAAAACTAAGGCAAGAAAAACCTCAATATTTTATTTTAATACATTATAAATAATGCAACGTGGAAGAAGGAATACAGACGTAAAGAAAATGTTCACTTGTTATGACTAGGCATTGAAACTATTTGCCTACAGTTAGTAACATTCTTCCTTATAAGCAAGTGTTTTAGATATTATTTAGGTTTGGTTTAATGATATATATAAATAATTTAGAAATAAAAAAAATATAAAATATTTGTATCATGCGTTTTATTACGTCAACTAATCTTCAGGTTAACAGCTGACGCTCCATGCCCTGGGTTATTATATCTCCCTTTCCTGCCGCTTGTGACTCGTATGTCCGTGGCGATACTTGAATCCTTTAACAAGTAGGCACTGACAGCTGGCTCTCACGTTGCGGCCCTTCCGCCCTTTACGAAGTTTTTCTCTCCCTGGTACGCAGGCGGTCACATTCTCAACGTTCAGACAGGGGGAGGTCTGTGCAGTAACGAGGTATTGAAGGTGATACATAGTGGTTTGGGTCAGTGCCTATGTGTCACAACCCTAAAGCAAACATCCATGCCGAGGCGGGATTCGAACCCGCATATACCGCAGCTCTCGGCGATCGCCCTAACCACTACGACCTGCGGGACTCGGCGGTAATGAAATAATTACATTACGTTCGGAATCGCGCAAAGTTTATTCTTAAATAGCGCCGCTTATTTCCGTAAATATCGTGCAGTACGGAACACTGCAGCAGTGCTAGTGCAGAGCTGTATGGTAGAAACCGCTGTAATGCTTTCAAATTGATCCCATTTTAAATGTGAACTGATTATTATATGTACTATAATTAAAATTAATTTACTTTACAATAAATATAATTCCTGCCAGTTTATTTTCCGAATCCGAATTTTAAAAAAAATGAAACCCATTTTTTTCTCTTTATTCATAAACGTTAATAATTTATTTCCAATGGAAAAAAGCAATGCAAAAAAGCGATCGCTTTAAAAGTATAATAGGTTGGATTGCACCTTTCCGTCGTTCCGAGCGCTTGTCTAGCCGCTCCGTTCCCCCCTCGCCCAGAATTGAACCCTGGACGTTAATCACAGGCGTTGGAAGCGCGTGAGCGATTTCGCAACGTGCGCGGTGGATGCATTAATAAAATAAACTGACTGGCGCGGAACTCCGAGAGTGTTGTGTATTTTGCGTTATTTTGCGGGTGGCAATGTCAACAAGCAACTCAACCGCGTGTGCGAAAGTTTTTACCGCCGTTCTTTGTTTCGAGGTTTAATCGCAGGTACTTGATGCCTGTGATAAAGTGTTTGCAAAAAAAATTAACATGAACCCGCCAGTAGAATGAACTTTATGGAATTTCTGTTAATGCACGAATTCATAATGTATTGTCTAGAAAAAACACGAAATGACACCGCTTTTTATGCCACATTTTCCATGTTACATACATGAAATTTCTACGTATAAAACGAATTATTATTGATGTGATAGTCTTTTTATTAAAGGGATAACATTTGCCGAACACATTTGCAAATCAAAATGGAAGCGAATGATGCACTCAATAATTAATTAGTAATTAGTAGATCTCCCATGTGTCTGGAATATAAGAATTCAGATACACTCTGAACGATATGGAAAATATATCACACTAGTCATGAAATACATTAAAAATTTCGCAGATGAAACATTGCGGTAGAAATGGTACAATGAATCGTTGTTCGAATTTCATGAACATTATTTCAATTCTCAAATTCTTAAAATTATTATTTTAAAGAATAAATATCAACTGCATGTTGAACTTGAATTTATGGAGTAAATTTAAGTAATAGTTTTAAACGTACAGAAGTTGTGTAGCAAAGAAAAACAATGTTAATGACAATGTTAATAACAATGAAATAATAATAATAATAATAATAATATATAAGTTAGAAAATAAATAATAGTAAAATATTACTATTTTTATAATAAGATCAAAGTGAGATTTTTAAATGAAAAGCTTAATAACAAATGAAACATTCTTCTATCCCAGCCCAAGCTTTACATTCAGTGCACAAGTGCGAAGTCACGCCTTTGGTCGCTCAATAATTTACACTCTTGAGTATAAATAATTATCACGTAAAAATCCCTGTATGTTCTACCAGAATGTTGTACAGAATTAAAAAAAATAAAATAAAAATAAAATAAGTTTAAAAGCATGAAAAAAAGGAAACTTTATCACACTAGTCTTGAAATACACTAAAAATTTCAAAGATTTAGCAATTTAAAAAAATGGTGTTTTGCCTCGTAATTCAAATTCCATGGATATTATTTCAATTCTCAAATAGTGATAATTGCACTTTGAAATGAACAAACGTAAGAAGCATTTTGTTCTTGACTGTACTCAATAGCATTCTCGTTTGCAGTACTTGAGCGCACACCCAGCCAGTTCCCTGCATCTCCACGGGGCGAGCCGCAGACGGGGCGAAGAGAAAAACGCGCAGAATCACAGCCCGCGAGCCGCGCAATAATTCTCCGCGCCCGAAGAACAAGCACGTCTCGGCGGGAACTCGTTCGAGAACGCACCCCGTCCACATCCCTGCGATCGCAGCTGCCCCCCCCCCCACCCGTCTCCTTCTTGCGCGACGTAAGCCTCGCCCTCCCGCAATCTTCAGCTCCTCTTTCGCGCCCCGCGCCGCGCCGTCTCGCCTCCCCGGCCACGCCCCCGCACGCATCCACGCGGCCCCCGGGCCCCAGATCAAACCACTTTCCTCGCCTGAGCCCCGGCATTCAATATCGCCGGCGACACCTCGAATCGACGAGATACCTCGAACGGCGCTGCATATCGATTGGCGGAGCACATCGACGCGCCGCGCCGGCGAGGGGGCGGCGCGTTTGCGGCACACCTCCGCCGCCGGCGCTGCTGGTGGAAATCCGCCACGCTGATGGACCTCCGGTGCGCGGTTCGTCGTCGCCTTTACCTTCGTCATCACGCGTTTACGCCAACCTCGGCCCGTCGTCATTCCCTATAAAGGTCACCCTCTCTCCATCAGCGTCGCATTCACCCACTTTATCACCCTTTCCATCATTTTCACCCTCACGATTTTTCTCGCCTTTGTCACCTTTATCTTCACCCCTATCACCTTCATCCTCACCTTCGTCATTTTTATCTCCATCTTCGTCAGCCCTTCATCGCCGTACTCACTCGCCATCACCGTCACACTCGCCATCACCGTCACACTCGCCATCACCGTCACACTCGCCATCACCGTCACAATCTTCGGCACACTCGCCATCACCGTCACAATCTTCGGCACACTCGCCATCACCGTCACACTCATCTTCGACACACTCGCCATCACCATCACACTCATGTTCGACACACACACCATCCTCGTCACACTCATCACCGGCATTATCACCTTGATCGATTTCCTCAGTTCCCTGCGTCCCTCATCTTCACATTCTCTCAACATCACAACTCTCTGCCGTCATCATGCACACCACACTCAAACACACCTCACCCTCACCGTCATATTTTTATCAACTAACAGCTCCTTCGCCGCGTTCACCGTCACTTACATCACCAATACCTCCGTCGTCGTCGTCGTGGTCGTCGTCGTCACCGTCGCCATCGTCAGCCGCGTTGCCGCCATTGCTTCCTTTCCCAACGCACCGAGCTTCTTCCACCGCAGCGACAACCACTACCACCAAACCGCCGCCTCCACCGCCACCGCCACCGTCAGACTCTCGGGCACGAGATTTAGGGATTCTCGACGTTATTTATGGATCGGCTCAAGGGACGGCGTTATTCAGTCCTCGCGTAACGAAAACAGAGTAAGCACGGCGCCTTCAGAAGTATTTCATCTCGGGGCTTAAAGAGAGGAGCGGTGCGGGACGCCGCGATCGCCCATGCTCTCACAAGGACTCAGCGAAATGAGGCACGAAATGTATTCATAGGAAACGCAAGTGATCCCGGATTGGCACTCCGGCGACGGACGAAAATACTGGATAAGATATTAAAGGCGTTCGAAAGGAAAAACCTCCGCTCGAGGACCGTCATCCGTCTAAAGAATTCGCGGGAGGAAGAATATTGAGGAGTGTTTGAGTACAAAAAGCTGCAGGAGTAGCGGTGAGAGGTTTCGAAGCGCCGAGAAAAGTGACGAAGTTATTGCTGTGTGGGGGATGGATCCACCCAGTAAATCAGTTTCTGTTGTTCCTTTTGACGTAATTCAAGATCTTACGATTTTTAATGGTGATTTAGGAATTTTAATAGCTCTAAATGGTATTCCAATTTCATTCTAAATGTATCCTTTGTGATGAATATAACAATTCAGTAAATTACTATAATTTGTTTTGTGAATAAAAGAGCTACATAACTCAATGTAGACAGTTAGCATACCCATTAAAAAGCCCTTTTACACACATTTATTGTTTCCAAACCGAACAATACAGATCCTTGAAAAAAATTTTAAATTTTTATTTTGAGCAGGTAATATGTGTGCATGTTATGTATTTTTAGGATATTTATGGTGATTTGTGTGCATAAATAAATCGTATATCTACTGACTTCACAGAATCGCATTGTATAAATACAATTAGTCGTGCTGTTACAAATACTCAAGAGTTGCCACATTATGAAACATAAAGAAGGTGTAGTTACAAAAAGAAATGAAAATATTTGACTTCTAGTTTCGTGGAAATATAATGTAAGAAGTCAGGATTCCACATTTACAACCCTAATTTACTCATAAAATGAACTTTAACGCCAAAGACGCTTACGTTTAAACTTAGGTAACACTTCTTTTCTCACAAACCAATGGGATAGTTCCATGAACTCTTCTAACATACAGCAGAATTTCCGGTTGTTACTATAAATATTAAGTATCGATGAGTAATATAAAATCGAATACTCGGAGGAGACGAATTTAAACATAAATACGAAAACTCCTACTTACATAACCACACGAGTAATCAGCATCATGGTTACTTCACTCACCTGCAAAAAGAAAAAAATCTCAATAAAATGTATTAAATGCAAATGAACGACAATAATTCAAGAAATTTGAAAAAAGCTGTGAAATAACCTAAGACCACAAAACGAAATATTACTTCTAAAGTATTCTTTACATACATATATCTCACTCATAGTTTCGTGAAACCTACAATCTTTTCATCAAATACAAGGCAGCGTTGTTTTTAAATACAATGCAACGGTAAATTTCTGAAATCATTGTGAATGTGTCTCGAATATAAATATTTAGATTGACCAGTAGCTCCAGCCAAGGTTCACACAATGAGTATTTGGAATTTATTTGCCCTCGTGGCTAGCTGATAGCGTGCTCGCTTTCTACTACGTGGCCCTGGTTTCGATTCCCGCTCAGGCAAGATTATTGTATGCGTTTTCCTTGCAATATCTCAGAATATGTTGCTGTGTCATGATAAAATTTTTCTCTAAGGTTGAGAAGACCAGAATACGACGTGGGGATGTCTACGTGCTATCCACACGTACCCCCTTGACCCAAGGTCGCGAGGCAGGGCTGCCGCCGGTAGGCCTGAGCCCGTTCATGGACTGTCGTTCCAAATACATACATACATAGAGCATTTATATAGAATTTTCACATTTCGCCATTCAACAACCAATTGTAAAGCAGAAAACTCATCATCCAGGATAAATTTATTCCTTTAAATACCAAATTACAAAGATTTTATCATTATATATACTTTATTGATTTAACGCTCATTCTGTAAGAAAGGCATATCAAAAGTTATGCTCTTTCGCGTCCCGAATCCAGTATATTCTGAACACCGTCACAGTAGGTCATCGCGGCGATAATCTGGCCCTCAGCACCAATCGTTAAACAGCAGTTCGCATTTGCACTAGGCAAACCCATTCTCGAATAACCGCAGAGACTATTTATCTGGGAACAGGGCAAGCTGTATTTCAGGAGGGCGGGATCCGTCGACAAATCCATTACGGTACAGCCGGCTTTAAAGTTGGACACCGCCTAATCGGTGGGCCTGGCTGTGGTCGCTGTCGACACTCCAAACCGCCTCATCCATTCTGGGCAGCGACTACCTCGCCTGCGTGCACAAGCTTCTAGAATTCCTGCCATTTAATGTGTCTTGGTACGCTAGAGTGTACCACTAAAAATGATGGCGGTGACACTGCTTTCTTAAAGAAAGTGACGATTTTTTTCTTGCGAAATACATGGAATACGGTTATTTATATAGCAGCAAAAACCAAACCAAACCAATTCGTTGTGCGATAGAATAAATGAGAACGACCAGCTGAATATATGCGATTCAATGCACAAAAGAAAGAATTGCATTATAGTTAAAAAGAAAAGTACATATGCAACATATGGAAAAACGAACCCCCTCACAAATATTAAGTCTAAATAATACTGAATAATATTATTCACTACTTATTCCCTAAGCCTAATGAAATGAGGGAGGTTTGCAAATTCTAGAATAACACTATTACTATTTTTTGTGATCTCAGAGTCAAACGTTTTTTGTGAAGGTGAAACTGATATGAGCTGAGATATATTTTAATAAACTTCTAATAATAACTGATAATGTATACGTTACACCATTGTGATAGCTTTTAATACCAGATAAATTATAATTTATTTTATTATTGCCTCAGAAATTATAGAAATTCTATTTTCTTGGGTTCACACACGTAATTTACTAGCCCCCAATATTGCTGAACGTTGACAGGCTGTTCATACGAAGCGGAAAATTTCTGGAGATTTATTACCTGTTAATTATATTAGAATTGCCCGCAACTTACTACTGAATAATGAGCCTTGTTTTCAGAAAAAGGATAACATAAATATACCTTTTAATATATCAATTTATATAACACGAAATAAATGAATTCATGTAAAACCTTTTTACGTAAACTGTTCAAGCATTAAACCCTTCTGTTTCTATTGATTTGGCTGCCAATAAATATTTAAATATATTTTGTTTTGTTTTTCAGATCTGAAAAATGAATAACAAACACCACGTAGCCTACTACAATATCTTTGTGCGCTCTTTGTTTATCGTATGCTCTCACGCCACGATGATTCTTTCTTCCATATCGCCTAAATAATGTCCCAGTATTACATTGGACAAGGCTTTCCAAAATTATTCTATCGCGCACTTTCCCTAATTATCACCGCGGATGGACGCCTAAACCCGAAAACCTTCCTATCAGTTAGCAACATTTATTACAATTTCAAACCACACAAACTAATTTATATTTATTAACATGCAAATTTCCCTATTTTTCTAATGTAATCACTCAATATCGTACTCTTTACAAATTTATATCTGAAAGTTCCGATACTTGCCACAAGAGGTTCTATATACTATCAGTTCGACGCGACGCGTCACCCATCTAAAAACAATGTCAGCTCTCGTCGGCTAAAAAAAAGCTAAGTCCGATGCTGATCGTTCAGCTGCTACAACTACAGCGATGTTGCTCGTGCGATGTTTTGTTGTTGTCTATAATTTTGGCGTCTTTAAAAAAAAATGTGTTTTGTAACCTTCGCCAACTATAACTTCTCGATCCACGGATATCCTTGTAGTATGATCCTCGTATTGTAGTGTTGTCTTGAAAATGGCGTAAAGAACAAATAAGACCAGATAAGCGACATTCTATTAATTTTAGTATTGTAGTTTTTTAGTTTAGTGTTTTAACTATACACCCAATTAATAAGAGAAAGTAATAACATACTTAACGTTCTTTACCTTTCATTTAAAGAAAAAAATGGTGCAGTAGGAAGCTGAAATTACTTTCTAAACGAAATCACTTATCGATTTAAATATACCGAGTTTGCCATAACTTCATAACAGTTTACAACGACTGTGACATGAAGACTGTGAAAATGAAGTTTTCGCTGAACAATGCGGAATCATTGGGTAAGTAAAATGCCGTTGATATATTGCTGGAAGATTTTTTTTTTGTTTATGATAATTTAATCTTTGAATTTTTAAATATAATTGTACCTTTACTTTAATTGGTAATTGAGAAATCGTAAGTAAGCAATAAGTAATTGAGAGATTAAATTACAAGTACAGTGACATTTCATTTGTTGTGTTGTTTTGATAGTTATTTGAATATAAATTATATTTTCTGACATGTGACGTTAAAGTAAATGTACAACATTTCGCAACCGTCTTTGGGGAACGTGGCCTTCGGTTCGCGGCGCAGAGACTGCCAGGGGGAAGCGGAACTGACAGGGGAGGTACAGACGGACCAACCCGCCAGTACAGCAATCCACGATCTTGAAATGTAGGACACGGCAACATCAACATTAAGGATTGCAATGAGATTTTTCTATTGATTCATCACAATCAAACTTTTGATTGCAACTGCACAAATTCGATCATTGAAAATATCAATATTTTAAAAAAATTATAATAAAGGCAATTTTTAATCGTAACAAGAATCGAA